CTGCATCTTTGCAAAAGCTCTCGGAGCACCATTCCTGGCAGTCCGAGGTCGAGGATCTGCGTGAAGGGTGCGCCGAAATGGGGGGCGGCATAAGGGGCGGCTTCAGGGCGGGCTAAGGCATTTCAGGATTTAAATCTGCATAGGCTCTTAGTTCTTAGGGTGCGGCAAACAAATGGTCATGCACGGGCTCCCCGCGATCACTTTGCACTGTTAGATGCTCATTGTCAGGGGCGGCGGGGGGGGCTTCTCACCTGCGTGCTCATGTCAAGTCTCGTTCCGCACCACGTGGCCGCAGCCCATTCCCACAGGGCAACATGCCTCATCTTGGAATAAGCCCCGAAGCTTTGCGCGCAGGGGTCCTCGTACCAAATCGAGGGGATGCTTGGGGCGCTTCCCAATGAAACTCAATGACGGGTGCCAGCACGGTGGACGTGACTCGTTCCATTCGTTGCATTACGCGCAATGAGCAGCAGGCGCCGACTAACATACTTAGCAGCTACTACGCTGGAGCAAGGACGATGAGGCGGGGACAAGCAGAGGAAAAGTGGGGAGGGGGGAAAAGAGGGTCGAGACTTGTCCGAACCTGTAGCTCGAACCGTGCAAAGACCTCCGAAGAAGCTTTTACCGCTCAGACGAACGCTTCGGGTTCGGTTCTGGACAGCTTATCGGACCTAACCGATGCAAGCTCACCGCAAAGCGTGCAAAATCCCACCCGCCCTCTGGGCTTGAGTGCGCGGTTCCCCCGGGGGTCGCAGGCGACCCCTGCGAGACCCTGAAACACCGAAAACCAAACGAACGAGCCCAGGAATAGCACACTCACACGATTTCCATTGGTTTTGCGGCAATGTTCACGTCCACGCCACTTCCGACCGGGCTGCGACGGTGAAGCCGCCTGGGCGTGAGGGGTTCAGCGAATTTCCTCTTATTTCGAGCCTGGAACATATCCCTATCCCTATGCTGGACATCTCCTCATCACGACGCCAATCTTAGGAATTCCCTTATTTTTTGAGGGCGAATCCCTAAGATTGTCATCGCCTTTTGGCGTGTCAATCTTAGGGAAAGGGATAAGTTCGAGGCTGGTAACCTTCCAACCTCCTTATTTCCCCTTCGGGGAGGCGCGCGTCCCTTCCACCCTGCGCCCCTCCCCCCACCAGGACCTGGGGCCAGACAGAGGGCAACTGCTCAACTCGGCGCGCAACATGAAACTCAAGGACGATGTGCCCCTGGTCCAGGGCGTCCCAAATCGGCAATCTTCTGAACTGGGTCAGTCCAAACCTGGGTCAGTCAGGCCGTGCAGAAACGTGTGAGACCCTGCAAGATTCTGCACCCAAGCCTGGGTCAATGCGACCCTGGCCCTGCAGGATCCTGCAAGATCTGGCGCTCTGGCTGACCCCCGTTCGCATTGACTTTCAGAATCGAATCGATCAGTCGGATCGGCAATCGAAATGCATCGGATCGGCGGAAATCGGCAGCCGAGCCGGGAAAAGTCGAATCGGCGGACATCGGCAGGCCAGCATGCCTCCAACACGAGATCGGCGCCCACATCGGAATCCCAAATCGAATCGAATCGGAATCGGAAGCCATCGACATCGGATCGAATCGAACCGGAGGATTAGAAGAAGAAACACACATAAACATAAACTTTTGGCGCTCCGCGCGGATTTCTTGGATCTGCGCTGGACCCCCCTCCCTGGCGCGCGGAGCGCGGAGGAGTAGGAGAAGGGGGAGGAGGAGGAGGAAGAGGAGGAGGAGGAGGAGTTGGAGGGGGAGGAGGAGGAGCTGGAGGGGGAGGAGGAGGAGGAGGAGGAGGAGGAGGAGGAGGAGGAGGAGAAGGGGCACGAGGAGGAGGAGGAGGAGCAGAGGACGAGGATGAGGATGAGGAGAAGGAGGAAGGGGAGGAGGAGGAGGGGCACGAGGAGGAGGAGGAGGAGGAGGAGGAGGAGGGAGGAGGAGGAGGAGGAGGAGGGGGCAAAAGAGAGCTCGTGGCCGCCTTCGCTGCAGGAGTCGAGCGGGGCGGAGTCCAGCGGGTCTGTGCGCACCTTCTGCCGGGGGGGGGCGGAGGAGCAACATGTGCTGCGAGAGCAAGCGCCGTGGACGCTCGTTGCGCTCCCGAGGTCCCGCAACGGACTGCCAAGGTATACAACAACGGTATGCCAATTTCGTCGCTGTCGTCGATCGAACGTTTACGCAACTAGTTGTTTTTCTGGTAAAATAGTGTCGGCCTGGGCAAGGGCAGGGCCCCAGTGGGGTGGAGGTGGGAACCAAAAAGAACTCGAGCAACTTCTGGCGAGACTTAGTGGGGCAATGGCAGAACCTGCATCGTCTCGATGTCTTCCCGACCAGTCACGAGCGACGAACGTATCCGTGCCCATGTCCTCGCGGTCTGGGCACCGAACCACGATCCCATGGATGTGCGATCTCGTAGGTACGTTTCGCGCGTGGCATCCGCGCAACCCCGCCTGGTATGCAAGCGATCGTAATGATCCAAGCCTGGGGTGAGCCGTCAATTCTTCCAACCCCGACCAGTGGGGATATGATGTCGCGAGAGGCAGCTTCAGCGGAGGGAAGGGAGGGAGGTAGAGAGGGGGAGGGTACGAGGAAATGGAGGCAAGGGGAGCGGAGAAGGGCAATTTAAGGTGAGGGAGGCGACGGGAGGGGATATGTGGGAACAGAAGCTATTACTGCAGCGAGGCGGAAGGAGTGAGGGAGGGAGGATAACAGGGAAGGGACGCGGTGGATGTGGAGGCAGAGGACCGGGAGGCCGATGAGGGTGAGTGCAATGAATAATACTACTACTACTACTACTACTACTACTACTACTAATAATAATAATAATAATAATACTAATAACAATAGTAGTAATAATAATAATAAGAAGAAGAAGAATGGTAAAAGTAATAAGCACAATAATAATAGTAATACTAATAATAATAATGATAAAAGGATGAGGACAGGAGGCGCTGGCCTCCTCCGTCCGAAGCTCCATCGCGGACGACTCTACCGTCGCCACCGTCACGTCCAGGGCCTCGGCCCACTCCGGCGGCCTCGGGGGGCCCGCCACCAGGGGGGGGCGGGGCAGCGGAGGGGCAGAGAGAGAGGAAGGACTCGACCGGGAGCGCTGGAGGAGCACGCCGCCCGCCCGCTGGAGAGATTACTCCAGATTTCGTAATAAAAGGGAGGGGGTCTCAACCCTCCCAGACGAGAGGTTTTAGCCCCCCCCCGTGGGAGAACCCTCCAAAACATCGTCCCCAGACCCCCCCAGGCTCTCCAAGATAGCCTGGAAGAGACCCCCCCCGAAATGAGACCCCCTCCCTTTTATTACGAAATCTGGAGTACCCGTCGGTCGGACGAAGCAGGTAGAAACACGAAGTAGGAAGGCGTTGGAGGCAGATGGGGTCTCCGCCCGCCCCCTGAAGCCACTCGATCATTGAAGCAGGAAGGCGCTTAAAATATGTTGGAACCTGGGATTCCCAAAATACCGTGGTGTCCCGTTGGGTGAGATCGTTCGTGAAATCGATAGTGAGATCGACAGGTGTCCCGAGGTGTCCCGTGGAGTGAGATCGATGGTGAGATCGCTCGAGTCAGATGTCGGTCCCCCCCCTCTCCCCCCCCCCACAACCTCCTTATCACCCGAAGGGTGATCGCATCGGCGGTGGACAAACCTCCCTTTAGTAAACCACCCTTTAGTGAAAACGGCCTGGGACCGAAACCGACGGACCTGGACCCGCAAAAACGACGCCGCGACGCCCTCTCGCGAACCGTACACACTCGCGAATCGACGTGTCAGGGTAGGAGGTCTGTCCGCCCCCGATCGCATAGGCATATTGGAACCTGGGATTCCCAGAAATGCCTACAGCTTTTTTTTTGTTGTTGCTGTTTTTTTTGTTTTTTTGTTCTTTGTTTATTTATAAATGGGATTTAAAGAAATATAGGATTCTAAACCATGAACAATTTAGGAATAGATTTGGTGCATGAGCTCATCGTTGTTCTAATCCTAAATCCCTGCATCTTCAACACGTGATCCGCACGCGGAGCAGGTCTTCAAAACGGCACTGCACCTTCAACGACCAGCGGCCTCCCCCGCACGACCTCCGTGGGGGCCGCCCCGTGGCCCTGCCGGGCGAGGCCCCCCGCGCGCCGCTCGGGGGCGGGCCGCCAGACCGGCAGGGAGGGCCCGAGCAGGGCCCGGACCCGCACGCTGCACTTCGTTCCGTGATCCGCTCTGCTCTCGAGGAGAAAACAGACGTCCCTGCCGTGGGCTACGGGTGCGTGGTCAGTATACCCTCCTCCTCCTCCTCCTCCTCCTCCTCCTCCTCCTCCTCCACCTCTTCCGCCTCCGCCTCCGCCTCCGCCTCCGCCTCCGCCTCCTCCGCCTCCTCCGCCTCCGCCTCCGCCTCCGCCTCCTCCTCCTCCTCCCCTCCTCCTCCTCCTCCTCCTCCTCCTCCTCCTCATCCTCCTCCTGGGAGCTTCCATAGGCCAGCGAGCCGCCAGGACGCCGCGCGGCACGCGCGATACGCAGGGTTTACCCTGTCAGCCCGCAGGAGGTTCAGCGCACAGCGCTTCATAAACCAGGATAGGGGCGTCTTTGACGCCCTGGATGCTCTACAGTCAACCAGTATAGCAAGGATGCGCGATGAGGATACAAGGGCCGTGGAAGGCCACGTCGAGGCTTTTCGAGCGGGGCGCGGTCCACGAGAGCGGCGGAGGATGGGCCGAGGAGGCAAGGATGCAAGGGTACCCTTGGGACGGTTGCCGATCCTTACTATGCGGGTTGACCGTACCTGTTTTCCTGAAAAACCCCGCCAAAACTTTCGAGTCCCGAAAGGGTGCGGCGACGGACCGTGCGGGGACCTCGAAACGTCCTCCAAGACCTCGCCGCACGCTCCGTCGCCGCACGGTGTCCTGGGACCCTGGAGGCCCCCGTCGCCCGCGACGCCCTCTGCAAGGGGCCCGAGCCCCAGAACCGTGCGGCGACCCGGGATCCCCACCGACTCGCCGTGCGGCGTGGTCACCGCGCCGCCTGGGGGGCCCCCGCCAGACCGAGCAGCGAGCCACGGAGGGCCCGAGGCGAGCCCGAGGAGGGCCGCGCGGGCCGCGGGGGGAGGCGCGGGAGCCCGCTGGCCGCCCTTGTGCAGCACCTCGGGCCCGCCGCCCTCCCCAGGCCCCGCGCCTCCCGCCCCCCTCCTGCTCCGGCTGCCGCCCCTCCTCCCTGCGACGAGAAGACGACGCCCCGGACAAGTGTGATCCAAAAAACAAGTGTTAGAAGCAGTTCAAAACATTTGTTTTGCGGCATTGTGTTTTTTGTTCCAAACATGTTTATATTTATTTATACATATATATGTGTGTATCTATATATATATATATATATAGATATGTGTGTATATATATATATATATATATATATAAACACACTTGTGCGAACAGACGAAGCCAGGGCGATAATTAGATCGGGTGAGGACAAATCGAGAATCTCTGAGCTCCGGCGGCCCTGGAGAATGTCTCGGGCGCCGCGGCCTTCTCAGAGCGTTCCAGGACGCTTTGGAGCGGAGTTCTATCCTCGTCCTAGCCCCTAGCCCCGTCCGACTCTCTCTCTTCTTGCTGCTTCGTCTCGAAGAAAGAGCGCCTGAACATAAACTTTTACCGCTCCGCTGGACCCCCCTCCCGGCACGGTGTTTTATGTTTTCTTCTTCGAAGGAATCTAAGCGAGCCCCGTCCCAAGGCTCCCGACCAAAGATTCCACGAGAGGCGGAGGAGGAGGAGGAAGAGGAGTGCCAAACATGTATTTTTATGGAATTGTTTCTTCTTCGATCCTTCCGCTTCTGCTTGCTCCTCGTCCTCCCTCGCCCCTCCCTGTCCTCCTCCGTACACGCGCTCCTCCGACGCCGGCGCAGGTGAGCCCCCTGGGCTCCAGCCTCGGGGCTCCCGCAGGCCAGGGCGCTGCGAGCCGGGATCATGCCCGATCCGGCCAAGGGAAGCGACGCCAAGAGACTGCCTCGGCCCTCAGAAGAAAAGGTACCCATACCGCTACCCCCGCCTCGTTTTCGCCTCTTTGGGCCTCAGGGGATGCCGTCGTCGCTACCACGGGATTCGCCTCGAAATTCTAGTCAGAACGAACCCCAGGAGAGGTCCTGGGAGGACTGCAGATTTCAAAATAAAAGAGGGGGTGGTCTGATCGGGGGTGAGGGTCTGATTGGAGTTGTCTTGGAGGGCTGCCGTGGGGCTGGGCAAGAGGCCGCCCGTTCATGTTCATGGCTAGTCTGGGGGTGTCTAAAAGAGCTTCGAAATCGGGAGTAGCGGTATCGGAGTGCAGCGGCAACGGCTGCCGGAAATCCATCCGACCGATAAACCGATAAACCGATAAAAACTAATCGGTTGAAAGGTTTGCAAACCGATCGACCGAAAAACCGATATAATTTGATCGGTTTATCGGTGGATCGGTCGCTAAACCGAAAAGCCGATAAACTCTGTACGCGAACATAGAGGCGATTGCTGGCGCGCCCCCCTCTCTTCGTCGGTTTATCGGTTGATCGGTTTATCGGTTTATCGGTTGATTGGCTGGTCTGAGACCGCTGGGGGGGAACCTGTGGAGGCGATCCTTGTGCCGCATATCGGTTTATCGGTTTATCGGGTTATCGGTTGGTTGTCAGTTCCCCGCCACGACGACGACGGCGACGGCGACGGCGACAGTGGCCGGACCGCCATGGGGCAGGGCTCCTCCGAAGTCGGAGAGAGGTGCGAGGGCGTCTCAGGCGCAAGTGGCCTGAACACCGCATCTCGGGGAAGATCGGGGGTCAGACTACGTGGAGGCAGGGCGCATCCCAGGTCAACGCTGCGAGTTTTTGTGTAGGCGGAACTGGCCAGGACAATTTGGAGCAGGGAAGAATATCAGAGGTCAGCGTTGCGAGGATGTCTCATGATGAGGATGAGGAAGGTCATGCTGATGATAATGATGGCGATGGCGGTAGCCGCGCGGGAGGCAAAATCTGGCGGGGCAAATTTCGGCGGGAAGCAAGTGCGAGGATGGCTCAGGCGATGGTGGCCATATTACTTCAACTCAAAGAATATCGGATCCCAGAATACTTCGGATGCTTTAAGCGGGATGCGCCGGCGTGGTGAAGATGTCCCAGGCGAGAGCGCTAATAATCACTTGTCGTGGCGCGTTGGAACCCAGACTTCCGAGGATGTCTCACGAGGAACGGGCCTCCTCCTCCCCCTCCTCCTCCTCCTCCTCTGCGTCGTTGTCGTCGTCCTCCTCCTCCTCCTCCTCCTCCTCCGTGTCCTCCTCCACCTCCTCCTCTTTTCAGAATCAAGGGCGCGCGATTGCGGTAAGCCGCCGTGAGGCGCTCTAATTGGACGGATTGCCACGGTGAGGCAAGGATATGAGGGGGTAGCCAGGAGTCGGAAGACACCCCAGCGTCCTCATCCCATTCGTCCCCTCAATGATGCGCTGTCCCTTCTCGGGACTGGGGGGGCAAGGAACACCTTCGTAGTGGGTCTGATTTGCCAGGCCATCGAACATTCATTTGCGTGGCAATCGAATCGGTCACCCAGGATGCCGGTTCTGCCTCGACGAAGCCTCATGGACGATGCTGGGGTTCTTCCCCCCTAATCTCATGGTGGGGCTCGCCAGCCACCGGCGCTTGATACCCGGTCCCCCCTTGGGCGTTGGTACCCATAAGCCAATCGAATTCTAACAAGCTCCTCCTCCTCCTCCTCCTCCTCCTCCTCCTCCTCCTCCTCCTCCTCCTCCTCCTCCTCCTCCTCCTGCCGGCCGAGCCGGGCCGAACCGCAGGCGGGCCAGCCAAAACGGGGACGAGGACGAGGATGAGGAGGAGGACGACGTCGACGACGACGGCGACGACGACGACGACGGCGACGGCGACGGCGACGGCGACGGCGACGACGGACGACGACGACGACGACGACGACGACGACGACGACGACGACGACGACGACGACGACCGCCGCCGCCGCCGCCGCCGCCGCCGCCGCCGCTCTCGTCGCCGTCTTCGCCGCCGTCGTCATCGTCGCCGTCGTGGCGCAC